GTGCCCTGGAAACTGCAAAGTCTGTCATCAGCAAAGTGGAGGGCATTCCTCAGGCAAACCCCCATAGTGTACTGAGGTCTTCTGTATGATTAATTATGGCAGGTACAACGAACAATAGCTAAGCAAGTGACACTAATCAGAAGTGTTGGCAAAGGAAGGTATGGAGAAGTGTGGCAGGCCAGGTGGAGAGGTGAAGATGTGGCTGTCAAAATATTCCTTTCACATTGTGAATCCTCGTGGCAGAGGGAAACAGAAATCTACCAAACTGTTCTACTTCGCCATGAAAGCATTCTTGGATTCATAGCATCAGACATCATTGGAAGCAACCAGGTGACTCAGATGTACCTAATCTCAGATTACCACCCTTATGGTTCACTCTATGACTTCTTAAGGGGGCACTGCCTCAACAAGAAGACCATGCTCAAGCTTGCATTGTCAGCCTCAGCAGGATTAACTCATCTTCACACTGAAATTCAGGGAACTAAGGGCAAACCTCCAATTGCTCATCGAGATATCAAGAGTAAAAACATACTAGTGAAGGAAAACCTAACCTGCTGCATTGCAGACTTTGGCCTTGCAGTTAAATACTCAACTGACACTGAAGAAATTGACATCAAGCCAGATACAAGAGTTGGAACAAGGAGATATATGGCTCCAGAGGTGTTAGAAAATAACCTGGATTCTAGAAATTTTGCAGCATTTAAGATGGCAGATATTTACTCTTTTGCTCTTGTTTTGTGGGAGATTGCAAGAAGATGTATATCTGATGGTAAGTGTATTTGTTAGCCCATTCAAATATGCTGCGCTTGATACCAATTAAAGCAGTGAATCAACAGATATGTAATAACTGTTATCTTAAATTATGGTGGATGAATCAATGTATGAAACAGTGAATGATAATTTTATATATGGCTGCAGAATCAAGCAGTGTTTAGTAGATATGTTAACCTCTTGAAATTTTAAATCTAGAGATGTTTGATTTTGTATGACGTCCCCTGATAGCTTCCTCCCCCTAAAATTTGTTTATTCACTACCTTTTCATTCCAGCCTTTCCTCCTTAGGAATAAAAATCACTAAGTTGGAAATCATTTGCAAAGGAAAAAAGTCACTGGAAGTCTATCATGTTTTGAATAGCTCAACTATCACTGTTCTTACCAAAGGTAGATAACAATAGGTAGTTGGGTGGTAGTGAACAGGACTATAGGGTGCAAATTATGTCCTTTTTTTAAATTTTGATTCCTATCAGAAACTGGAATGTGTGAAGACTACCAAGTTCCATACTTTGACATGTTACCTGGTGATCCATCTTTTGATGAAGTGAAGAAAGTTGTGGTGACAGAAAAGAGACGTCCTTTAGTTCCCAACAGATGGTACAGAGATGAGGTTAGTGGGACATTTTGAAGCTTGGGTGGTAGTGATACTGCAACTTGTCAGGAAGGGACATTGTCAGGCATTTATGCAGTGTTAGTAGGGGTAGTCAGTTGATTAGCTGACTAGTCTTCCAGGAACAAGGAAAGGGAGTTAGCCTTAACTTGTGCAAGGTCCAGTGTCATTGGAACAACTCAAACCATTTCAATTACTAGATTCTTCCAAGGTTATAAGGAAAGTTCTTGCTTTAAATAATACCTAGAGCAGGCCACTTTGCACCTATGGTGAATAATCAAAGAAGATGTTTACTGTTGATGCCAAATGAGCTCTGTGATTTTTTCTTATTAAGCTTGTCTGTACAAGTAGTACTCATCATGCTATGTAAACATCTGACATTAGTTTGATGATTAATTGATATTTCTTTTTTTCTAACAGTCACTCCAAACATTGGCAAAGCTGATGACTGAGTGTTGGGCGAGCCACCCTACTGCCCGTTTGACAGCCTTAAGAGTGCAGAAAACATTGAACAAACTCAAGAAGTCAATGGATTTTATAGAAAAACCTTATAAACATGATGATGATAGCCCTCGCACAAGTGTTACAACAGCATAAAGAGCCAAATACTTGTGAAGTGGTTGAATCCACACTCCATCATTGGAAAGAAAATCAGGAGATTACTAAACCTGTCCAGCCAATCTCCAGGCTATCTCCAGTCATAAGAAAAGAATCAAATCAATTTGGAGAAAATTCTCAGAGACTCTAAAATGACACAAACTGTCAATAGCGTTAGACATGCTCAAAAACTGTGCAAGACTATAATACCTCTCATACCAAAGGGTATTGGACCAAGTAAAATGTAATTAGCTGCAGTTAGATATTATTGTAGACTAGAGTTTGGTTTCAGTTCCAAAATTGAATTCATATATACAGAATGCTAGAAAATTCAAGCAAAAATACCAGTATACAAATAACAGGTTGGAACTTGATCAATTCACATACTTTAAACTACTGGTAATTTTACCCATGTAGAAAATATACATAAGTTTATTAATTAAAAGCATGATGTACTGCACAGCCATTATCAATGCGATTATTTGTGTGCTTCACTATGTATGCATATAGACAGCAAATAATTTTTGAGTTCAGCTAAAAGTGTGGAAACTGCTGAAATTAAACATAATGTAACAGATGTCTTTGAACACTTCCTCAAATTTGTAAAACATGTTCAGTGCTCACCACTCAAGATTAATTAATAGAGGTGTAAATATAGTGAGGCAGACAACCAAAGATCACACTTGATTATGGCTTTTGACCTCTCAGGACCCATCATTTGGAAAATTTTTCTCCTTTCCAGCTCCTAAATACTCCCTAGCTAGTCAGTAAAGATGACTAGGATGGGTGATGTACTAACATTGCAGTGAGAAGCCATATTGATGACTTCTGTGAAGAAGAGAGGGTTGAAGGTGTTTGTAAACTTGTTGAAAGCTCAAAGCTAAAATTAAACATAGAGAGAATCACCTGTCACTTCACCAAAAGTTTTGCTTTTCTATGGAGAATTTGTTTGAAAAGAGGACCTTGGTGGTGGTGTTACTGCATATTAATGTAAAATAGAGATGTACTCAGGATTATTATTTTTAAATGAAAGTGCGATGTTGCATGTAAATGTTATTGTCATATGATGAAAGGTTTTGTATTCAAACATCACAACTTGTATTTTTGTGTGTGTTTTTTCCAATCTATGTGTATTTTGGCCATGACCATAACAATGGGAAAAGACATGGCTGGCTGATTCAACAACTAAGTTTGCTTGTTACAGTTTTTAATTCATAATGAAAAGAGCCATTTAACTACTAACCAAAGTAGAGCTTTGAACAGGGTTTTCCCTTCTGTGTTACAGTCCTAAAGAAGAAACAACACTGAGGAAAACTGAATAATGGTTCAAAAATTCAGCAAGCCAAAAAATATTACTGTTAAACAGTAAGAAGCTTAAAAGGTGTTTTTATGCTCCTAAGTATATCTACCACTTCTCCTCAATTGGGAACTTGCTCTTTTGCTCATTGGGTATAACTCAAAAGAGAACATTCCCTAAATCCACCTTAAATTGTTTTTCTAGGAAGATTGGTCCTCAAATCTTCAGAACATTTTACCTAAGGTTCAGACACTTCTAATCAGTCAAGAGGGTGCCTGAAATGTTTAGGCTTCCTCATATGCATCAAGCAAACAACAGCTTGGTTCTTTACAAACATGTACACGTTATTAGAGACTTTGATTTTGATAGGGTGGAGTTAGTGGGAATTCTTTTTTCGGTGGGGGTGGGAATTTGCAGAAAAAAATAGGCCATGTTTAAAAAATGGGACTCCCAAAGGACCAAGAGAAATAATTAAACTATAATGGAGTAAACAAGTTTTATGATTGATAAGTTCATTCACCTAATACAGACATTCCTGTGTCCTTAGAGGGTTCAGAGCAGGAACAGGTTTTTATTTCATGAAATAAATCAACCAAGAAACCGAGATTTCAACTGAGATCACATTCATTAAGAAATGTAGAGGTTGTCCAAAAATACTCCCAAATATAAAGAGGATAATATATGAGGATAATAAACAAGCTGGAAAGGTCAGACAATTTCTAAATGACACTACCCAGCCCACCCCTCCCCATCCCATCACAGAGTTATAGTGCATATTGTCCCTACTAATCTAAATGAAAATTTTGCTTAATTTCTCTCCCTCAGTCTTATCACCCAGAAGGTCATTTGCACAGAAAGTGTCCTGTTTAAATGCATACGTGCCTATTAGAATGTGATAAATGCAAATTATTCTTGCCTAAAGCAACGATTGGGGCACAGGAAATGATAAATACGCCAAGATTAGAAAAGGATTACAGAAAGGCCTTAAAAAGGAATCAGGAACCTTAAAAATACCCTCAGTCGGGCCAACAAATTGTATAGAGGGGGTAAGACTCAGAAGAAACTGTGGTGCTGCGTCGGTGGGAGAGTGTAGCAGGTAATTTAGTGTTGACAACTGAGTTGAAAACGGAAATTGTCCTCCGTTAAGCTCTGACGAAGGGCTAACGCTCGAAACGTCAGCCTTTTAACTCTTTACAGTGGACAATTTATGTTTTCAACTCAGTTGTTAACACTAAATTACCTGCAACAAATTGTATACCGTGTATTATACCGTGTACAGAGGAGCACCTGCCAAGTCTGCAGCAAATATTTGTCAGGATTTTCGCTTCTAGTTGCTAAAACAAGCATGTTGTACGGGTGAAAAAATTAATAAGGAAAAATATGAAACAATAGGCGAAGTGATTTCCAAATAATTTTCGATTCCAGGAACCTACTGGTGAACTGCTTTCGAATAAGAAAAATTTTTTTACTTACCAGTTCAACTATCACTTTGCAGGTTACACTCGAAATGAATATTTCCCGAAGAAAAATAAGCTAAAATTATTTAAGTTATCTCTAGAAGTCCTCCTGTCCCGACAAATGCGTTAAAAAATAGCAGTTTAATATCTATCTTTAAAAGCATAGTTAGTAGAGGAGACTGGAATGGAATGTTTGTCTGGCAAGTGTTTCGCGACCGAGCTGCATTGGGGCTGAGTCAAATGACGTCACCTCCATTGGACTGATACGGAACGAGCAGTCACGAAGAGGAATTTCAGAGCGGTTTTAGTCGAGACTTTTCTTTAGATTTACGCCAGTATGCAAGATTCAGAGAGAGAAGCACTTCGTAAAAACAGGCAGGCTTTGTTAAAGGATATAGAGGCAAAAAAGATCGCGTCTCGGCTTTTTTCCTATAACATTTTCAGTGTAGAAGACAAAGACGAAGTCAACTCCAAAGAAACCAAGAACGATCAAGGAGAGGCTTTATTAGACATTCTTCCACGTAAAGGACCAAAAGCTTTCAAGGCATTCTGTGACGCTTTGCACGATGTCTCTCCTCATTTGGAGTCACTTCTAAGGCCAATTCAAGCAGAGGGTAAGGTTGAACTTGATCTCAATTTTAAATTGATGAACTAAACCTTCGTAAGTAAAAAAAAAAAAATTCCGGTTGTATGCATGACAACTAGGAGGCCTTAGCTTGGATATGTATGGACATAAAACTCTTTTTCTCCTGCATCTAATCATGGTAATTCCTCGGCATGCCATTTGTGGAATACCGGTGCTTCTTTGAACAACTAATTTGTCCGTGTGAAATCACTTATGCTGATTTTCGCGCGTGGGTTTTCACTCGAATGGTCATGTTGCCATATTTCTGAATTACAACCAACCTCTCAAACTAATTTTGGTGTTTGACTAATTCACATTATCTTTTTCCTGAAATGTGACAATTCAGGGTAAATCCTCTTGACGTAAAGTACAGTTTAAATAGAAAGTGAATACACAGTGGGTAAAACCCCTTGACAGAGTATTAAAAGTAGAGTTTGGGTACAGTACATGTTATTTACATGTAGAATATTTTATGAAGAAACATTTTCAATAGCTTTTAAAGGAAGTATTTTGGTCAGTAGATACCTCCATTTCTTGAAAATTCATTTTTGTTTATTGTACTTTTGATAGAGAAGGGACATGTCAGCACCTGTAGAAAATTTTAAACATTTCCTATAACTAGTATTTGCATCCTGTAGTCAAACCTGGTGATCAATATAGCTGGTCTTGAACGTCTGTTCAGTCTCAAAATGTTTTCAGATTTGATTGGTTTGAACTCTATTGATAAATCAAATTGGTGGTATATTAAAAATAGATAATCTTACTACAATAATGATATTCATTGTCAAATGTGTCTAAAAAGTTTTCCACTGAAGCATACAGACACTCAAACTGTTGATCAGCTTTTCTATTGTAGCTTTTTCTGTAGTGGTACAGCTTGTAGACATCAAGATCTAATTCTCTTGACACTCAGGTATGCCAACTGAAGGTACTGATGGTGGAATCAGCACCAAGAAACCTATTCCAAGCACTGTCAATCCAGGAGCAGCAGGTATAGTAATTAGAATGTTATATCATATAATTGCCTCTTGAAACAACAATGACACATTGAATAATGGTATTTGTTCAAATTAAGTTATAGAGGTGATATCAGTTAGCTTTGTACAGCTGTAAATGTACAGTTACTTCAGGTGCAGAAAGACCCAGCTGTCATAACAAATCCAACTTGACCAGTCATTCCAAAAAAACTTTTTCTTGGTATAAAGGATCTCAGATGAAGAAAACAGGCACCATAACTAAAATCTCAATATTATCCATATCTAGAAGCATTCAAAGAAAATAAGAGAACAAAATTTTAAATTTGAACTCTCCAATAGCTTTGTATCACATTTACTGACAACTGTCCTTTTAAAAATTACCATAGCTTAGACAATCATGCTACTTATTTGTGGCTAAAGGCTGACTGATACTAATAGTTCTCAAATCATTTCCTCACTTATAACATTCAAAGATTAATTATTTGTATTTAGAGTGTGTTTTGTCAATGTGAGAAGATTAAAAAAATGATAATTGTCTAATTTATTTTGAGAGGGGTGCTTTCGATTGCTTTCTAGCACCATAAAAAATTAATGCATGTTAGTTTGTTTTAGTTTTCCTCTTTCTTAAAACAATGCTGCTCTTTGGTATAAAACTATGCTTTTGGTAAGAATTCTGTTCTTCTTAGTTCTTATTCATAAGTTTAAAAAATAAAATCCTCACCCCCTCAAAATGTAGTTAACTGCATTGTTTATTATGTGGCCAGCTTGCCTTTTTTTGGAATCTTTCGGCCTAGTGACAACTTAGATACTCCTCAGTTAAACAATTATCTGGTGCTGGCAGCACTATCAACAAACTTGTTCTATTAGGAATTTTTCTGCATCAGTATCATTGCTAATACCAGGTGTAAGTTAAATTGGGACCATTTCTAATTGTGCTGCATTACCTGTCATGACTATCAGCCTCTTATTCCAAATTTTGCTCTGATCATTTGATTGATTCAGATGGTCTCTACTTCTTTTGCTTTAGTTTAATTATACACTCATAAAACCTAAATGCAGAGATGAATTGAACATTAATGACAGGTTTGTGTTAGTACAAAATTGTTTCTAGTTGCTTATTTTGACTTAAATTTGTGGGCCAGCAAACAAAATCTTCTGCCTGGAGAAAAGAAGCTACAATGCAGCATTTGATGTAAAATTTACCTGCAAATGGGAAAGGTTTTCTAACTTTATCATTCTGCTGCTTTCAAGTTATACACTTTAGTGTTAACATATCAATGAATCCTTGATGAGTGCATGAGAGCCAGCCATCAGGCCAGCCAGCCAGCCAGGCAGCAAGATGTTTCCAGAGCTTGCATTTTCATAGCAGTTAGATAAATACCTGCCAGGAATCAATCCCGATTATAAAAAAAGTGATTCAATCGGGTTATGTTTACCTTTTCTCATAACAAATATATATACACAAAGCTGCATCCACATTTTTTTCTGGAAACGAAGATCAAAGCAGTTTTCTTCAGATTTGGATTTTCTTCTAACAAGACCACAATGACACTAAAGGAAAGAAACCTTAAAATTTGTGGAATAGAAGTAACAAACTCAGCTTGAATTCAAAATGTCAGGTAAGCCATTTGAATTCTTTGCTATCATTCATTTGATTGTAATTTTAATTGTATTATTTAGTGGGTGACCATCCAAGTAAACCATCTGCTGATCTAGTGGATAGCACTGTGGACTCAAGTTCAAGAGTTCAGGGTTCAAGCCCAAGCTCTGGCTTGGTCATTGTGTTTTTGGCATGGCGAGATACTTACTCTTGCCTTGCATCTCCCCACCTTTGAGTTAACATGGGCACTGGCAAACTGACTTGGAAAGTTGTTTAGAAGTGATAGAATACATTTAGAGAAATATCCAGTAGAGGTCAGATACCTCCAGAAAGCTAAAGCCAGTTGTACTGTGAGTTTGACCAACTATTTACCTAAAGCTGCTAACAAACAAACATTACAACTTAAAGCACATGCTACTTAATTAACACCTTTGCAAGGTAACCATATCAAGATTTAGAAGGATTTGATGTTATTAGATAATTGGTCAATGGTTTGCTCTGAAACTGAAAAGTTAGTGACACAGGACTGTTTCATTGTGTTAGGTGTTATAAGAGCACTTGAAAGATGTCTTGTTCTCATGGTGCCTTTTCTCCTCTCCCTTTAGAGGAGAACACTGGTACTGGTGAACTGTAACATGACCTGCCCAAATTGATGAAAGGGAGGTGAACAGCACTGGCTGAGGCCCTATCCAATAGAAATACTCCAACCTATTCCAGTTTAGAAAAATGGGACTTAAAATAGCTATTAGCATACAGTGTAATTTCTTAAGTCTTGAGAGTTAGAGATTTCTTTTCCTTTTTCTTTTGGATGAAATAAATGAATATTACTCTCCTGTTTGCCCTGTAGTTGATACTGTAGGTTTCAAATCTAGCAGTGTTAAAATGAAACCTTTCAGTTAGGACAAGAATATGATTTGGAAAATATTCCTTCTGGATCAGAAGTTTGTTTTCTATTTAAGAGGACATCTTCTGATTAGAAAATCTCCAGAAGGCTCAGCTAACTAGTGAAGATGAAGTGTTGTATCATTTATTTGATAACCAGTAGTGTTCATAATCACTTATTAACCCCTACAGTGACATTGCCAATTAACATGTAACCTATTACAATTTGAATGCATTGTCTTGCAAACAGGTAATAAGAATAGGGTTTTGTGTCAAAATAGCAACAACATCTCAGCTATTTTACAAGGAAAGTGTAGGAGGTAGAGGAAGAAAAACCAACTGGTTTTGACAGTTAAAAGGGTATTAGATTGAATTTAGATTTTTTTTCCAATTTTCAGAAAAAGAAAACCAAGTAGAACAGGTAGAACAAGAAATTGATCATCCACAGCCTCCAGCAGACATTTGTGTTTGCGATGATTCAATTTACAGAATGGCTCACCAACCCAGAGGCATAGCTGTCATTATAAATAACAAGACATTCCAAGAAAAAACCAGACAGATGTCACGTGAAGGCACAGATCTAGATCGGGATGCTCTGAAAAAGCTTTTTCACAAGCTCCTGTTCAAATTGGAGGTCCATAATAACAAAACCTCTGCTGAAATCCTAGAGATTGTGGAGAAAATGTCAAAACTAGATCATTCAAACTATGATGCTTTCATATTCTGTATTTTGTCACATGGTGAAGAAGGTGTGGTGTATGGAACAGATGATACTGTTCCAGTGGAGAAAATAACCTCCAGGTTCAAATCTACAGCTTCATTGGCTGGTAAACCAAAGATCTTCTTCTTCCAAGCTTGTCAAGGTATTAATTGTGATGTTTTTTCTGTCAAATTAAAATTAGGATGATGAAGGATGGATGGCAGTGTTCAAGATTTAGTAAGTTAGAGTACATTATAGGCACTTCCCCCCCCCCCTTTAGATCAGACCTTCACACTTATGTTTACAACTTTTGAATTATTTATCTTCCTTTAGTTATATTCTCAAATTGCACTGAAATTGGTCTTCACCTTGGTAAAGAAAAAGAGAAAGATGTTTTTTGCCTTGTCACGAGCATGGGACAAAGAGAAAATCTTTCTCTATTCTTTACCTAGTTCAAAACCTTACCATCTCTCTTATTCTATTTACAAACATGACGCTATCGACATTGCTGATCCTAGCAGTATGCAGGACGTGTGTCATATGAACTTCCTAATAGACCTTGCCCACTGTGGAGTCTCTGTGGCTAAGTGGTAGGGCATCGGAGTGCGGAATCCATAGGTCTGAAGTGTAATTCCTCATGGGGACTCAGAATTTTCTCTTTGTCCTGCACTCGTGACAAGGCGAAAAACATCTTTCTCTGTTAACAGTATACTTTGCTTAATAAAGAGTTAAGCAATTTTTCAAGTGTTGATTGTACATATATCTTTTACTGCTTTGATAAACAATGGGTGGATACAAACTTATTTAAGACTCGAAAGATATAAAAATCTGTAACTACAATTTTGTAGAGTTGCTTAGCTTTTCATTTTTCTAGAAAAAAACATTCGAGATTGCAAAATTCAAGTGAAAAGCAAGCCAACTGTGAGTAACACCTCGAACAACTGGAAGTCAAGATACTTTGTTTTCATCACACAACAAGTACAAAATGCAAATATCATTCTTCTTAATGCCTTTCCCGGTGTCACTGATGCCTTTCCCAATGCCTCTGTTGGCTAACCCTTTAACCCATAAGAGTGATTTTGGCTTTACGACAGAATTGTTTTTTGCAACTACAAATAATTTGTCTCTATATGAAGAATTAAAGTTGTTTCACTGCTTACCACTCACATTTTTGGACTATTTTTCTTTCCGGGCTCATTGCCTGTGATTTAGTAGCTCCTAATTTAAAATGATTAGAGTATTTACTCTAATTTTCCCCACTTGCTATTGGAAGAATGATCTTTATGGCTACATTGAAAATGATCTTTTATTGGTCTTGTAGTTGAATCATTTACTTTCATTGATTTGCAGGTCAGAAGTTTATGGAAGGAGTTGATATTCCAGATGGTGCTCAGCATGGCAAGAAAGCATCTGTCCCAGTGGGGGCAGATTTTTTATTTGCACACTCCACTGTAGCAGGGTACTATTCCTGGAGGAATTCTTCCAATGGATCATGGTTTATTCAGTCTGTAGCAAAAGTGTTGAGAGAGAATGCTGACCATATGGATCTCCTCAAAATGCTGACAAGGGTCAATTCCATGGTATCTGAGTTTGAGTCGCGTTCTCACATTCCCATGTTTAAGAACAAGAGGCAGATACCCTGTATTGTTTCAATGCTGAGAAAAGACTTTTACTTTTTCCCTGAAAAACTTGGTCACACAGAATTGATCAATCAAGAGAGGAATGGTGGTTCAATTTGTAAACTGTCTTAAGCTTCTAAAGGAAATGTAGTCACATAATGGCTTTGTCATTTACACTTCAAAATCCAAGTTTTTGTATTGTTCTAACCTGCAAACACCTAAACTTCCCAAAGCACCATTTTTGTTATTGATAACCTGGTATACTGGATTATAACAAGCAGGAACTGTATCTTTTTAGAACAAAGGTAGACTTCCCCAGTAGCCACCTGAATGGTACAATAAGTGCTTAGAATTTAGATTAATGTGAGTATGATATATATGAAAAGCAGAATAACCTTGTATCAAGATGAGGAGATGTGTTCTTGAAGCATTATGTATCAGGTGACTTTTCAGGCTATTTTATTGCAATTTGAAACTTAAATTGCAAGAGAAGGGCTGGAATCATTATTTCTTTCTTGGGTGAACTTAATGTATGGTTTGTTAAAACTAATGTTTGGTTAAAAGCTGCCTTTTTTAGGGTTAAAAAAAGTTAGGAAAGGGAAATAAATCTATCTCAGGTTTTTTGCAACTAAACTGAATTTGACAGTTTCTAAGATTGTTTTTTTTATGGTGATGGTTTTCTACTTGTGCAATATTTTATATCATTGTAGTGACGCCATGTCTGCCGTGTTTGGCATGATGGAGGGGGTGTGTGAAACCACCTTCTTTGTAGTTAATATTCAATACTTATTTTGAACTTTTTGATTTAAAAAATCTCAAAAAATTGAATATACTGTTTGTTGTTACGGCAATGATGATAAGATTAATGATAAAAGATGATATGAATTTCTTAGTGTAAAGGTATTTTGATAATCATTAGTTAATATATTAATCTGAAAGTTGCGTATCATTAACTTGTGCACCAGTCACCAAGGCACGTTATTTCACAAAATAACTAGTCAAAAGAAAACGAAATCTCTGATCTCTAGCAGTCTTAAGAGAGTAGAATGATAACAACTGCTGACAATGAACTTAGTAATGGTGTAGAAAGGTATTTTCACTCATCTGTTGTGTTTCACTTATATTTAAGCGCCATATTAATAATCGTCATGTACTATTTACTGTTTTTATTTGAAAAAACTATTTATTTTGAAAGTATTTTGTAATGTATTGTTTTAAAAAGTCTTGAAAATTAGATTCCCTACATATTTGTTATGCTTGGCATACTGATGTACTACTTACAAAAACTTTGTTAAGACATATTCAATCTTTGCACAACTTAACACTCCCAACGCATGTATCTCCCAAGCATACTCCTTCCCCCACTTTTTCCAACGTTGTAAAATCCTGTGCCAGGCTCACGATTGCAAGCAAAAAGCAAGAAAGTTCAGCTAGGTTTTTTTTCCCTCTTGCTTAACCCACTATGTCTCGGGTGCCTTCAAACTGAGTCTTAAGAACCAAGCAACATTTATTGAAGGTAGAGGGTTGAAGGGGAGGGGGGGAGGGTTGGGAATGGCATTTAAAGTAACGTTGATGTTGGCGGTCTCTAGGTACATGACTTCAAAACACGTCTGCTTCGTTTTTCAGAACATGCAGATCAAGCTGATGCTAAATTGTTTTCATTTGGAGGCAGCTCTGGTTCCAAACCCTCCTCCAATACTTTGGACACGGAGACTGTATACAAGATGGACCAAGGAACGCGGGGAATTGCCATCATTATTAACAACAAGGAGTTCCTGAGGAGTTCAGGAATGGATCGGTATCCTCGCAATGGAACAGACGTCGATCGAGATGGTTTGAGTAAGCTTTTCAGAATGCTTAAGTTTGAAGTGAGGGTTTACAATAATCGTACCAAGGCTGAGATACGTAACATTGCAAAGGAGATGGCGAATTACAACCATTCCAACTACAATGCCTTTATTTTCTCGATCCTTACTCACGGTGAAGAGGGTGTGATTTATGGTACAGACGGGACCCTTACCATCAAGGAAATCACATCAGAGTTCAAATATTCTGCGTCTTTGGCCGGGAAGCCTAAACTCTTTTTCTTCCAAGCTTGTCAAGGTGAGATCATTTAAAAATCAAATTTAAATGGTAACGTGCAGTATTTCAACAAAATAACACCCTTGGTTGAGCTGAATGGAAATCAATTGTGGTTGTCTATTTGCAAGGAGAGGAGTGGGTTTGTGATCCATTATCAAAATTTGATCTCAAAATGTCTCTTTTCACTCAGGGAAACTTAACAAATTGCTGGCGAGTTACTTGCGATCGACTTCTATTCCTTTTAGAAGTTACAGTGTTCTTAATTGCTTCTCGCTTCAGAAACTTAATTGGTTGAGAAAATGGCGCGAGTATTTTTTTGTTCTAATCACACAGCGGAATGAGGCAAAACCCAATCAGTCCCAGACTCTTTCCAACACCCAATTGAAACCTGCCCTAATTCAATGCAATCCCAAATTATGTCCGAATTTCATTTTAAATTTTGTTTTTGAAAATCCTCCCTTTTATTTCCAAATTCCAAGGCCACGAGTACATGGACGGTATGGACGTAACAGACGCCCCGCAAGATAATCGAGTCTCTGTCCCAGCTGAGGCAGACTTCCTTTATGCCTACTCCACTGTGCCCGGTTACTACTCATGGAGGAACTCTGTCAATGGATCGTGGTTCATTCAGTCGCTGACAAAGGTGTTTGAAGATAACGCGGAGCGCATGGATATCCTCCGCATGCTGACCCGTGTCAACGCCATGGTGTCCACCTACAAGTCGCGAACTGGCGACTATTACTCTGACAGCAAGCGCCAGGTTTCTAGTATTGTTTCCATGTTGCGCAAGGAACTGTATTTCTTCCCTGAAAACATCGAGCGCAGTTAAATCAGACCGTGTTGTTACTTAATTTGGATTGTATTAATGTGAGTAATTTACTTAGTATTGATGATTTAAGGGAGTCGTGCCTAGACTTGAAGGATGTCTAAAGAACTACGTCAAAATATTTAAAGTCATGTTTTGTCTTGGGAAAAATTTCCTTCCCCTTGAAAGAGATTTAAAAATATAGAAACAAATACAAAAGATGTAATAATAAACGGAGAGGAAATGAGGTCAGCTAAGGATGGAGAAAAATAAAAGGTTTTGAGATGTCAAACCTGAGAAATGTAGTCTAATTTTTTCAAGATCCATAAAGCTGGCCGGCACATTAATAACAACATCTTGAGAAAGTTTGGATTAATTTTATCTTTGCGAAGATGCATCATTAACCAGTAAATGTTTGGTGTTAGCTTATCTTCTTTCGTCTTTATCTCTTCCTCCACATGACTGAAATTATCTTGACGTAGGTCTTCTGACGCAAAGGCTCAGGAGCCCGGCTCTCGAAAGGCTCGGTTACATTATGGTCCCGAAGCCATTCTAACGAATAGCATTGTGGGTCTCAGCTCAAAAACGAGGCCATTCTTTACGTTTCCTGAAATTTCATCGCGCGCCTGAGTCTTAAATGTAAACACGAGAATTAAAAGGCCTTTCACGTGCACGGTGATTATAGGGACTTTCGAGAAACGGGCTCATGGATAGACATATCGAAAGTGTCATGTCGCTTTGGTGTTCTTTGAATTTTGGTGGATTTTTTGGTGTGTTTAGGTCCAAAAGAAGTTTGTTCATCGGTGATATTAATGTAGTGTTTATAGTAGACTTCAAAAGCTGATTTCCAAGCTGAAAGATACAGATTATTGCCTTTATTCTTGCCTAGTAGGGTTACTTTTCTTTCTAAAGGTTTCCCTTTTATAACGAATATCTAGTATTGTCGCGCTTCCAGCGGAAGTGAGATCAAATTAGTTATTGAGCTTGTTTGTATTACCTATTCGAAACAAGCATTTGTAGGTTTGGTCTCAGATGAAAATTTGATTATTTTAGTGTGGAGTAGATTTCTCATGAAACCTATGTTATGCCTAAAATTGGTTACTACTGCTGTAATGATTTTCGGTCTTCCTTTCACAACAGAAATGTACTGTTTTGTTTCTTATGTATATCAAAATTAAAGAAATAGTGATGTCATTTTCCTCGGTTTCTATCATTTTTTGTACCATTTAGCTAGTATTTGTCATTTAATGTGTTGTTCTTCTCCCTTTTAGTGTTTAATGTTATATCTTCCATCAGACAAGTTAATTTAAATTTGGAAAAGAACTCACATTGAAAAGAAGTCGGATTGTTCAAAATACGATTTCTATGGGTCATGTTTAGAGTAACGTTTATTTAGTTATGTATTTTGTAGTGTATGAAAATAGAGGAAAGTTCGGCACTCGGACCGAATGCGCTGATGACGGGAAAATGTCAAAGCAGTGTCAAAAGAAACTTGTTTGGCATGTTTTCATCGTGAAATAGATCAAGGAAAAATTAGGAAAGTTGTCTAAGGTATGTCGTATGTAAGGGGCGAATAAATGGGTGTTTTTATAAGAGTTTCAAAACATTGCTGTTTTCTTTGTTTTGTAATCACCTGTACAATCATCAGCTTTTGCTTCAGGAAAAGAGGCAAGTGGACTTCTCTGGAATCTAAACCAATCGCTTCTGAAGTTGCCGTTCCTTTTTTATTTTCTCTAAGCCCAGTTCTCTTAAAGTATATGAAACTGCTGCACCCATGCATGCTCAAAGTCCATCTTTACTAACTAACTGGCTTGCAATCGATTCACCTCGCGCGGGAACCTGAAAACAGCGTAAAAGCTGCGAAAAAGGCCGTCACTTATCCCTTTTACTTTCACTTCCAAACTTCCAGGAGCACTGGAAGGTGCACTGGAAAAAATCTTAGTATTTTCTTCTGGTTTATAAATTACATTTTCGATTAGTTACGATGAGTCGTAAGTTCTCGTACATAAAGTGAATTTTTGTTCTTTTCTTCTTCCACTGGCGTAGCGAACCGTGTGCTCTACTTTGAGCACGCGCAGAACAGTGTAGACATCCGCAATTGAAACCGGAACCTCACGATTTCTGTGATAAAAATTCAATTATCCTAGATGGGTATTATTTGCCTAGGTACGTCATGTATGGGGAATTATAATATGCTGGGTACATAATATGCATTGGGTATAATAATTCCTCATACATGACCTAATTACCAAATGATTTAGGGAATATACCGCTGACAAGAAGCCAAAATGACCCTGGGCTTGAGATTGAGCCCAGCCCTTTCAACACGAGACGCCATTGCGCATACGCGCATGTATAAAACCGCATGTAAACTATGACATTTATCGTGCTTGATACGTTTTCTAAACCTAAATGATGCTAAAAAGTGCTCGGAAATGCAAAAAGTGCACGATGTTGCTGGAATCGCAAAAAGTTGCTCTAAACGCCAAAGGTTGCTCCAAAGTTGCCGAGCACAATCGGAATAGGCCTACCCGTTGCCCGGGGGATAATAAAGCTTCAAATCGACCGACGCACAAGTAGGTCATCCGGCCGTTTTCTGTTGCTAAAAGCAATAAGGTGTATTATTAAGTAAGATCACCAAGCTTCAGAAGGTTGTGGACGTTTTTACAGTTAGTTCTTTAGAAGCGTGGGCGTATTTTGCACTTTCAGCGGTGACTCCTTAACTCGGAAATCCCGTGATGCACAGTTGTACTCACTCATACCACGTGGTTTTGTGACGGTCGTTTGGACGCCATTTGTTGGAAGAACCTTTCATTGCATTACTTTGACAGATATCCAACATTTATAATGACAAGCCTTGACTCCCAAACCTCCGAGGTAGGTCTAGACATTAATTGTTTCTTTTGCTGTTGGCTGAAGGCGTTGTCGAGAGCAGTGACATAGAAATAAAGTCGGTTTCATTTGCGTAGCGAGCGAGGAACTTGGGTTGCTTGAACGCGGGATTTTTGTTTTGCAGGAGAAGTTATGTTCGAGGTATCATTCCAATAACACACGCTTCGAATTTTAATTTCTTTAGCTAGACAGATCATTTCATAGATCTTGCATTATGAAATCAATAAATTCATGGATGGTAGTTGTAGGCTTCAAGTAAGCAAAAACTTCGCTTAGACAGTTGACAACTGGGCCTACATGATCGAGATGATATCAGACCTCTTGGCCCAAATTTGATGTGATTTGTATTGGTTTCTTATTGTGAAATTCGTCAACGTTTGAATTTTAGGAACTCGTCGAGTGTTTGTCTAGAGATACGCTTTTTGACCGTTTATTTTCTCGTAGACAGAACAAGGTATTCAAATTAACAAGCGAGTTTCCTTGGTGGATCTGTTTGGACTAAAGAATAACCGTTTCCTAATATTTAGACTCTTGCAAATTATATCCATTTAGGATGTGTTAAATTTATTTTTCCGTATATTTCACAAGTTTATTTGATTTTACATACTTACTAAACCGATATGTTGTCAAATATCTCTTGGTCAGGGAAGTTTGATTTCCATGGATCTTTAAGGGGAGAATTGGTTGAAGTTGTTTTATTAAAGGTAGTAACTGAAGCGAAATTGATCGATTGGTTTTCACCTGCAATTTGGGAAGAACTCTACAGTACCACTACAACTCTGACAGGATTAATCAAGGAACTGAGAGCTTAAACCTTAACTCCCAGGATCTGATTATTAATTCTCCCCTCTAGCTGCTACACATTTCCTTGTAAATTAGTTGCAAGAATTTGATGTTAAATCAAGATAACTTACACCTGATGCATTTAAGAACTCTCATTACCTGTTTGCTGAATAGTGGGATTAAGGAGGGTCATCATTGAACACTACATTGATTGGTTTGAACTGTGGATCTTAAAAGGAACACATATGTCAACATTATACAAATGTGTCAGATGTCCAAGCCTTCGCAGAGGTTGTCAATTATTTTTTGGAATGATGAGAAACAGTTCATTCCATATAACAAAATTACATTCCCAAATGAAATGGATTGCCAAATCGAAACAGTGTTATTGGAAGTTTAATAATTGCAGGTAATATCTTGTAGAGAAGTATATGCTAATAATATTGGATAGGAGCAAAATTACATAAATGCTAGAACAAGAAAGAAGAGTATTCTTCTTATGTTTCATCAAATCATGTGTCATGATACACAGGGAGATTCAGATAACATGAACCCTGAACCAAGAGAACAATTTATTGTCCGTGCCCGTGGGTTGCCTTGGTCAGCAACTGCAGATGATGTTGCAACCTTTTTTTCAGGTGAGAATTTATTAGGATTCAGTGTTTTGCTTGTAAATTGGTAGGAAAGCTGTTGTGCAAAGGCAACTGTTTTTACAAGAAGTCAAGAATTTAATCAAATTTGTAAAATTGGATTAGTTTTCCTTCATGCTGATGGCGTAGAACTAAGCCAATATATTTTTTGTAGGGTGTAACATTAGAGATGGCCCAAAGAATGGCATTCACTTCACTTACAGTTCTGATGGACGTCCAAGTGGTGAATGTTTTGTAGAGCTTGTATCTCTTGAAGATATGGAAAAGTAAGTGGGGGGAAAAAAATAGAAAGAATAGTGTAAGCTGTACTTTTTGAATTGGGTTTATCTGATGGGATTCTATTCTAACAATAGTTGGCAATAAGAAATGCCATGGAATGGTCAATTTGTTTTGAAATGCTGCATCAAGTCCTCGCTTTTATTCCCCCAAAAATGAAAGTCATAGGTTAATTATGGATGCAATTTCTGAAAACTCATTTATAATGAGTGTTCTACCAGATTTGAAAAAAAGAGAGCTCAGTATGGCACCAATAACTATGAGACCCACGATCTGTTCAGTGTAATTGGCCTTGGCCAAATTGATCTTTTCCTGGCAAAGTTTGGATGTTAAGGAACAGGAAAGTTATTAGTGTGAAATACTTGTAGTGCTAGATGTGTTTGAAATGCAGAGTTGTCACAAGCAATTACTAAATTTGATCTGATTGAAACTTTTTTCCCTCCTTCCACAGAGCTTTGAGCAAGCGTAACAACTTTATCGGCAAGAGGTATGTTGAAGTGTTTGAGTGTAAGAATGGTGAAATGGAGTTCACCTGCAAGAGAATGGGACAACCACCTGATCAAGGACATGAAACTGTTTTGCGACTTAGAGGATTGCCATATAACTGTTCCAAAGAGGAGATTGCCCACTTCTTTTCAGGTATAAATACTTTTCTTCTTCAGTTATTAATATTCCTTATGATGTTTTGTTCATTCTTGTGGTCACATTGGGTTGTACCTAAATGTTACCACACCAGCTAGTCCTGTTTCTGAGGGTCTGCCAGAGTGACTGGAAATTCAAATTAATTAAATATTTTGATTGTCTATAGAATGCGTCCTGGAGGGAAACATTTTTTATGGTTTTACAATGTCATTCACCAGGAAAAGCATTATATGAAGGGCTTTTAAGGTTAAGGAATACAATTTCATGTGATTTTAGGTTTTCTTGTGATGCTGTTAAAGAGCTTGAGAACTTAAAATGTTTCAAATTGGTTTTCTATCATTATTTTAGGTTGATGCAATGAACCCCAACCCTAACCTTAAGCAATTGTAAATTTTTTTCTCTTCATACATCATTAATGAATTTTTAACAATGATTTTAAGCAGTGTGTTTCAGAACTGTTTGGGTCCACAAATTATATGTTCGACCATTAACTATTCAAGGACCTGATATGGCCAAACATTTTCTGAAAACAATTCCCTTCATGTACATGCTGAATCATTTTTAATCAGTTGTTGAACTGAATTTGACACCCAATGTGACCACTGTGTCAAAGCAGTATTTTTAGTTCGTATTCCAAGCAAGGTGTAGTATATATATTTGAACCCTCTGCTCTAAAGTTTGTAATAATTTTTTAGTAGACTGTGGTGGGATTGTATGATTAAATTTTGTTGTTTTCTAAAAAAAATGCAAGTTGTTGTCATCATAATCATGCTACAGAACCAGAAAAGTAACCAGCCAGTGAATATTATATATATATAACTTTATGAACACAGGGAAGAATAATTCAGAAAAAATAATGTGCATGTTGAAATTAAGGTCCAGTTAGCTTGCTTTTTACATCCCTTTTTTTATCATGCCTTTCAATTTGAAAATATAGTGGTGGAAGCAGACATTTTTTGT